GCATATAAGTATAAATGCTTATTGCAGTTATGGGAGAGGACACGATTTAAAGAAAAACTGGTCTTTTAATTTATACGGTATCCTATTGTGTAGCACACATCTACCATAGTCCTAATGTTCTACCACTGCACCTAAACCATGGAAAAAAGTAAAGTTCTCATTGTGTACCACAACTTTTTTTTGCTAGTTGGTTCAAATTAGCTGTGGTCATTAATGCAAACAAACAACATAATAGTGCTGCACCCTGTTTGGCAAGCCTTATAACTTTTTAATGCTGTTTAATATCATAGAACCAACTTGTACAGTTGAAACGGCTGACAAAATTCTTTAATTTTTTTAAATATGAATACTCATAAGGTTAACATGAGAAAGTCCAGAGCCAGAGCCACCGGGGCGGAGACTGAAAGAATTTTTGAGGTAAGAATATGTTAATCGGGGATGTCATCTATCATAATACCAAATTTCAACCTTGTCGGTTTAGTATTTTTCGCGTTTGCTTGTCACAAACATCCATCCATCCATCCATACATCCATACATCCATGGTTTGCACTGTAAACAAAAAGCTATCACAATAGGTAGTTCCAAACCGACAAATAGAAAAAATAGGAAAATATAAATAAATATGGAAAATAGGGTAATTTTCTAACATATTTTAGTGAAATTATATAATCAGGCAAATGGAAATTCAGTCTACAGATTTGCTGTGGCAGGGGGGTTATTTTACGGTTTACACAAAAATAAATCAAAACATAAACCTCATAACACTCAGGAAAAGGGCATAGGTTGATAGGGCAATGATTATAGAATCCTAATTATTTCCTATATCCATGATGAATGATTTCTTTTAAAACAAATTATTCCCAGTAAAATATTATTACAGCATTTCACAAAAATAGAACAGACTCAGTATAATCTAAATATATAAAAGGCAAAGCCCTCACTGAATGTGACTCACTCAATCACTCACTCACTCACTCATCACTAATTCTTCCACTTCCCATTTACCTAGGAGGCTGAAATTTGTTACACCGATTCTTTGGGCATTAAATAATAGGAAAACTAAGTAGTTTTTATTCTGATCGGGCTTTCGGGCTCCGCCCCAGTGGCTCTGGAGTTTCCCATGATAACCTTATGATTTTTCATATTCAAAAAGAATTTCTTAACAGCTGTTTCAATTAAACAAGTTGGTTCTGTTCTATGATGTTCAATAGCATTAAAGTTACAAGGATTACCAACAGGGTGCAGCACTATTATTTTTTAAATTTTGACTACAGCCAAAATGCATGTAATAAGTTTGTTCTCAATGGAAATAAATAAATTCATTTAATCATTCATTTAATTTGCAACCAAAAGGTGAGTGAGCGTAGCGAACGAACTTCAACCTGGAAGTGAGTTAGCGCAGCGAGCGAGCTCCAACCTAAAGGTGAGTGAGCGTAGCGAACATACTTCGCCAGGACGTTATTGAGCCAAGCGAACGAGCTCACTTGTGAAGTTAAACGGGGCAAAGCCCGCGGGTACAGCTAGTAGATCATAAACATAAACAAATGAAGTAACTGAAAGAATCATATCTATATATTAATATATAGCATATATTATATATAGCAAGCATGTTTCTTTAAAACCTTTCTCAGCTTGTGGGCATCGCAGGAAAAATGTTCGCATACTGTTAGAAAGATATTTTTCTGTAGGTGTGCAGAATCCCTTTAAAATTAAAATAGGCTCAGAAATAAGCACAATATATGAATTTGAAATTTGAAAACGATTAACATGAGCTTTATGGGTTTCCATGCTGGTGACGAAATAACAACGAAATATAAATAGAAAATCAAAACAAATTGAAGAAACTCCAATCACATGTTTTATTTACAGTGTGGGGTGAAAATAGAGAAGTCTGTACATTACAAATTTTTGGTCGAGTTTCGACCACTGGACGACCTCTAGTACTAATTAAATTACATTAACATATGGTTTGACAGCTACATTGAAGTAATGTAAAGTAATGTTTACATTCGGACTATTAACATCATTATTTAAATTTATAATCCTTACCCTCTCTGTTCTGATATTCGTGCATTATTTAATACGTTTGAACCAGCTGTGTGGAATTGTAAAATCAAAATTCATTTGACAGTTAGTTCTGGTTGTTTACATTTTTAAATTATGTAGGTTTGCTCTTGTTACCATGGATACCATCAATCAATATTTTAAAATCTCTCACCTCAAATTTTTGAAAGCCCACGGGGCAGAGCCCTAGGACAATAACAAAGAGGGAATAGTTGTATAATATGTATCCTCGGAGCTGTAGCTTCATTTACGTGCAATTTGAGCCCAGTCGGTTCAGTACTTTTTGAGATTAGGCTATCTCATAAACACACAGCACACACACACACACAGACACCACCTCTTCTTTATAATAGTATAGATAGATGGATAGATTACTATTATAGTATTATATATTGTCTGTGCTATGGCTAAAATACGTTTTTATTACTGCATCAGCTGGAGACATTCTCTAAATATCTGCTTAAACAATTTGTTGTCAAACATTGATCTCGTAAAATAGTGAAATTATTTTTCGTATGCACTAATAGAGCAATGTTTGTACTAAAAGAAAACCTTCTTTTAGTTTAAAAAATACATGTTTCACAGGAAACATTTTTGACCATTGTAGTAACATCATTATAGCTTAAAAAGCTGATAAGTGATAGTTTACATAATATTTAGCACATTTGACGGATAAACCTTTTTTGAATTCGTCATATTATATTATAAGTGTATGAAAATTCATATATCTGTGTATCAATATCTACTTGTATCATTTCTGTTCAATGGAAGTTATACAATTTCAATGATACCGGTACTTAAATGGGAAGTCTTACAGCTGTTATAAAACTGTGCACACATTTTATCCAATTTTATCTTACGAGTAAATTTGCTACCAATTGATATAGTATGACAATTCTATTCTACTGCAGTACAGTAGACTCTACATTTTACAGTGACATAGTATTTATTTTACATATAAAAACTTTTAAGCTAATGCAATAATTAGTTCAATTAGAACCATTGAATATTGAATAATTTAAACATTAATCGAAGACGAAGCGGTTGACAACTTTCAAACAGTTGACTAGGCCTAGTTGCCTTCAAAACTAATATTTCAATAACTGCAATGCGAACTGTATGCACTGAGGTCGGCAAACAGTATTCACTGTGTGCAGGCACTTTGGACGTCGTGGCACTTGGACGTCGTGCAACTGGCAGAGGCTTTGGACGTGGTGCAAATGATACTTCTTTACAATCCTACAGTGCGCTGTTTCACGACGTCCAAGTGCCACGACGTCCAAAGCTTGTAGAAAGACTATATTTTTGGCAGTTACTGTACTTTTGGACGTCGTGGCACTTGGACGTCGTGCAACAACTAAAAAATTATGTTTTGGACGTCGTGGCACTGGAAAAATATTATTGGACGTCGTGGCACTTGGACGTCGTGCAACACTCCCCTACCAACAACTATAGAAAATATACAGAACAAAAAAGCCTATAAGATAGCAGTATTTGAATGGCTCTCAAGCAGTGAAGTAAACTTACCTTAGGTTCACCCAGCCTAAATATTATGTTCCAGGCAAAATAAAAACGACTAGGCCAAGCTGGCATCTAACTACATCGGATAGGACACAAAACACACACATATCACATAAATAAATAAGACACTTCACAAAATTAGGTTAAAACTTTGCTAGGGCACACAATTACAGCCACTGTTAAATACAATTTTTACAAACACACACAAAACCCACCACATCAGAAACACAGTACAAAAGACATCTATTAGGGAAGAAAATATCAAAGAAAGCTTCTCAAACATATTAGTTTTTATTTTTTCTCCGCTTTGTATAAATAAATGCCTGCATGGGCATAACTTTTCTTAGTGAGAGGTTAGAGGTTATGTCTCAATTCATCAAATTTTCAGGAAACAAGAAACAAACGACAAACAAACGAATACTTTTTTTTCTCCAGTAGACACTGCCTCTTCAATATTTAGAAACCCCTGGTCTATGAACCAGGAGAACAAAGACTTCGGAATGAAGCATTGATTATAAATCAGCAATTTTTTTCAAACCATGTTAGAATTTTACATTTCTGCTGCCATTATTATGTAGCTTAGATAGGTGCCTGCCACAAACCGCCATGGAATTAGTAGCGCTAGAATATTTATATTTGTAAAAAGAAAAAGAAAAAAAATGTAAATTTTGTTTGTTTGTTACATTTTTGTGAATCAATTGGACCTCGCCGACAAGTTTTGCAAACTTGGCGAGGCCAGATTTTGTATTATCACAAATAAATAAATTTGAATTTGAATTTGAATTTGAATTCGAACGAGTTTGCGAACCAGCATGATCAGATTATGGAAACGGGGGTTCACGGGGGTTTTATGGGGTAAATATAGGTTTATCCCATTTTTGACTAAAAAAAACATAAAATGTAGCAATTACTTTCCAAACCATTTTGTAGAGCTTAAAAAAACAAATAATTTTGTATATTGAATCGTTATTATGGGCCTAATGGTTACGGAGAAAATTCCATAAAATTGTAAATTTAAAATTCCCATGTTATTCTTATAGAGAATAAGTAAACTATTATAGTTTGCTTGTTTATGAACATACTTTGATCAAATTTGAAAAATGTTTTTTTTTTTTTTTTGTTACTAACTATTAACATTTTACAAAAAAAAAAAAACAAAAAAAACAGTTTTACCCTTCCTGATGCAGCAAACCTAAGTACTTGTTAAACACTAATTCTATAAAGGGAATAAATATTATATTTTTAAGTAGACATTTTAGTGTAAATCCAATCAGGCAAATGGAAATTCGCTTAGTCTGCAGGTTTGCTAGGGCGGGGGTATTTTTTACAACTATGGAAATGAGAAGTGGTCATATATGTAATTACCATAAAATAATAAACATTATGCATTTCATAACAGTGGACAAAAACTTACTTGATATCATCAATGGTTGCTCGTTTCATTGGGTCAACTTGCAACATGTGACACAGAAGGTTAATCACAGACTTTTGCAGGTACTCTGGAATAGGAAAGACGCCAGCTGAAACAATAAGTTTTAAATCAATTTTCAGAGTCTTACAGTAAAACCTCGACAAATTGCCCTCAATAATCTGGACCCTCCACAAATTCAGCTACATTCCTAAGGACACAGTGTAACTGTGCAGGTGATTAAGAAATAGTAAGCTGATTAATTTTGGGCCCCGGGGTGTTGGCCGAGCTGCACATGTGTAGACCCTACTGCCTGTTATGCACAGTTGAACGCATCTTATGCCGTAGACCGTTTAGTTACTCTTGGTCAGCTTTGGATAAACATTGAAAAAGATTGTGTGAAACAACATATGTACATAATAGTGTATTATATTTTATTTTGTATTTTTGATTTCATTTAAAAAAAGGAAAGAAATGTAATGTTTTTGCCAATACTTTGCCAATGCCAACATGTTTGTTAATCTGGCTCAATAAAATGACTTTGACTGCAAACCCTGAATAAAGTATGATTGTATACGGTTGGGGATCAATTTTATATAAGTTGAAAAGAGCATACCTACTTATTTAAGCCACCTCTGAGGAAGACAGTTTCATATTGTAAATGGTAAGGACTGCAAAGATTTTACTTAATACATTAATAAAAAGTGTAGTATTATACAACCGAAAATTGAAAATTGCCAGCATTTATAACAACTCTCGGTGCATATATCCTCTATCCTTACTTTGATACGAGTAAGGTTTGCGCGGGTACCCAGATTCCTAACCCTCAGTAGAATTGGATACTCCTGCTCACATCAGAAGTAGCGTAGTTCAGTCTTTCACGACATGTCCTGATCGAAAGTCACGCACAGGTTTGTAGGGCATGGAGAACTATGTCGCTCACTTTAGAAACTAAAATTAATCTAGACAATGTGTCAAGTGAAAATACAAGATTACTAATTATACATGGAGACGGCAACACCGCAGGGAGAAAAATAAAGAAAATGGGTTTGGCAAATAAGCCAGAGATAGCTACTCGACTCGACACTAGAGTTTTTCTGAAATACTTGACTCGAATTGAAAATTCACTACTCGCCCACCCCTAAATTTAATGCTGCAGCCAACAATTAGGCTAGGCCATTTTTTTTATCAGGCCTAAGCTTACTACTAATAATTTGTAACCATAAGTTAACTTATAACTTTGAAGATTTGGTGTATACTTAAACTATCTATTTAGGGCTAAGTCTACTTTGCGCGCAACTACTCGACTCAACTCGATATTTGAGTTTTTACTTAAATACTCGACTCGACTTGAATTAAAAAATCACTACTCGCCCACCCCTATTAAATAGTCTCTCTATGATCCGGCCTTTATCCTAAATCTGATCTACCAGCCGCCCGTTCGTGCCATATTAATGAGGTTCCACCATATCTTATGATGAGTATTTTAACTATTGATCATAATAGTTCATTGGCTTAGTTTACCATAGATGATCACCAACAGACAATAGTGGACGTCAAAACCTGCATTTATATTGTTGGGATCTTGTAATAAACATGACAATGCAAATGCTTGAGTATAGTGCTAGCCTAGTGGTTAGCAATTTGGTGCGAGAGGGACTGATTCAATCCCCAGCATATAAAAATACCTTCGCCGCAGCAAGCCTGCAGACTAAGTGAATTTCCAATTACCTGGCTGGATTTCTACTAAAATACGCCTGGAAAATAGTCAGATTTCCTATTTAAATAACATTAATTTTGATGAGTACCTAGGTTTGCTGCTACAGGGAAGGTATTGAGGTGTGTTTTTTATTGACATTTTGATAGGTTAGTATGAAATAAACAAAATTACCAAATTTGATCAAAATATATCCAAAAACAAGCTAACTACTACAGTATATTTATTCTCCATAAGAATAACATGTGAATTTTTAATTTAAAGTTTTGAAATTATCACCGTAACCGTTAGGCATACAAAAACGCTTCAGTATACAAAATTCTTTCTTTTTTAAGCTCTACAAAATGGTCTGGAAAGAAATTGTGGAATTTTATGTTCTTAGAATCAAAAATTGGAAAAACTAATTTTTACCCCATAACCCCCATCCCATAGTCCGATCATGCTGATTCATCAAAATCGGATCATTTTTGCAAGTTATTGCGCCAACGGATATATATATATATATATATATATATATAATAAGTATGATTGTGATTAGGGCTACTACTATATAAATAATTGAAAACATTATAAAACATTAGTACCCTTTTAATATATATATGAATTTAAATGGAGGGTGTTTTTGGCCTCTGGGGACCACAAAACAAAAAAGTAAATCGGTCCCAGGTCTAGGTCTTACCATGAGACCTACGGTAATAACTTATTCCCTACATGGGAAATTCGCTAAAAATGTGTTTTATTTTATTTTATTTTATTTTACATACCAACGGACATCTCCAGTTATATAGACTAGACATAAACACATTTCTCTCAAGTAGGCCGATTGTACATAAAAAAAAATACATTTTTACAATAAATATGCCCAGCAATAATATACAGGGTGTCCCGGAACTCTCTACCAATATTTTAGGGCATTGATCCTGGGTAAGAAACGTACCTATATATCATATTTAAATTGTCCGGAAGTCCTTAGTTACTCACACAGCCGCCATTTTGTTTTTTTTTAGTTATTAATTTTTTTCTAAAGAATGGTTAAACATACGAAATGGAAACTTTGCACAAACATTTATGACAACTAGACAACGCTACAAAAAAATTATAAAGATTTTCAAATTCATAAAACAAAATGCCATTTAAAATTTTTGTAAAATCAATGGTTTTTGAGTTATTTAAGAAAGAAAATTTTATATGGCCGCCATTTTGTTTTATTAATTTGAAAATCTTTATAATTTTTTTGTAGCGTTGTCTAGTTGTCATAAATGTTTGTGCAAAGTTTCCATTTCGTATGTTTAACCATTCTCTAGAAAAAATTAATAATTAAAAAAAACAAAATGGCGGCTGTGTGAGTAACTAAGCACTTCCGGACAGTTTAAATATGATATTTAGTTATGTTTCTTACCCAAGAGCAATGCCCTAAAATATTGGTAGAGAGTTCCGGGACACCCTGTATATATAGATATAACAAAAACAATAAATATACATATTTAAATATTTATATAACGATAACATTAATAAATATATTAACATCACCAACAAAATAAATAACAGATAGCCTAAATAAAGCCAATCTGAACATTGAATCTTACTTGTTTGGCAACTGAGCAGGTAATTTTTGAATGTTTTTAACATGATATTTTAGTTTGTCTTTGCTCCAGGAAGGTTCAGACTGCCCGACTACCTTTGTCCGTGGGCACTATAGTTTCGTCCTTGACCGCCCGAAAGGTACAGTATTTGTAAATTTTGTAAATTAAATTAAACGTTTTTTTGTGTGTAGCCTATGTTATGTCAAATATTTTTTGACAGCGACAAGTGCTTTATTTAAAACTACTGATATATATTCAAATCATAGTGCTATATTTCAATCATTTTTGACAGGAAAAGGTTTTGAAAATGAGGTTGAAACACCGAAACTAGTAATCAACTGGAAAATATAGGATTGATTGACGACAGGTCAGTAACCTTAATATTTATGTAAGTAAAATCACAGCTTGGAGGTAACTAATCTAACAATTACTTGTCTGATATTGTAATAGATAATAATAAGCTTATTATAGACCATGAGTTGAATATGAGTGTATCAAAACTCAACATTAGTTTGGATTAAGTACTGATAATTAGCACAAACTACACTCACACTTGATCTTCCTGAAAAGTGTAGGCACGTGTTCGTCATCGAAGGGTAGAGTTCCACACAGTAAAGCATAGAGGATAACCCCGCAAGACCAGATATCTACCTCAGGCCCAGCATACAACTTGCCAGAGATCACCTCTGGAGCTGCGTAGTTTGGAGACCCACAAGATGTGCGAAGAAACTCCCCATCCATCATCATATTGGACAAACCTAGGACAGTCAGACACATCATGAGATTACATGTCTCTGCAACAGCAATCTTCAAAACTAATATATTTTCCATTTTCCTGAATGGATTTTTACTCAATCATTTCCTTAGTAATGTCAGATGTATTCCCAATTTAACATTATGTTTGATTTAATTCAACATTTTGTTATTCATTTGTATACATAGTAGGATATAGCCTATACACTATACACGAATGACGCAACAATTTACTTTTTCTCCATAAGAATAATATAGGAAATTTTAAATATGTATAGTTATTTTAAAGTTTTCTCTGTTACCTTAAATTTGTAAAATAATACTTCAATCTGCCAAAATATATATAATTAATAGTGATGGGCGGATCCAAGAAAATGTCGGTACCGGATCTGGATCTTGAAAAAATCGGATCCGGATCCGGATCCTCGGATTCGGATCTTCGGATCCAAATACAGATACGTTTTTCTTTTTTCAAGGGCGGGTTTAAAAAAAAAATAATTCATATGGCTAGGCAATGTCAAAGACTAACTGTGTCCATATGTTGTTATTTAAAACAAAGTTATCACAATTCTACGTTGCGCAATGATTATCTGATTATCGATCTGTACCGTTTTACTTAAAATGTCTTTTAAACCAGTACAAATTTTGGTCCACCAGTACTAGTTATTTGGTCAGTGTAGTAGTTATGTATAATGTGAATTGCTTAGTGCACATAGTCCCCTTTGTGGGTAAGTTTTAGCTTTAATTTTTACAATATTATTTTATTCATTGTTGTGAGTACGGAGGGTGCAGGCAGGCAGTGGTTTTCTTTTTATTTAATAATTTTCAGCTTCATATAAGAATTTACTTTGGCCCTTCAGGCAATTAAAAATATCTTTTGTTTTTAGGGTTCAACTACCAGTGAGGAAAAATGCAATAAATGGGAATTAAATCTAAAAGACTATTGATTATTTACAAGAACCAAAACCTGCATAGTTAAATTTCTGTGTGAATACAACAATCCAAGAACACAACAAAATTTGTACTGGTTTAAAAGACATTTTAAGTAAAACGGTACAAATTAAATGCGCCACTCTGCTTACTATCTAGTCTATCTAGTTATTTCAAATGAAGATGTGTTTTAAAGTGCATAAACTGGACTAAGTGCATTTTGTGTCCAAAATGGGTGCACACGTGGACCTTTTAGTTAAAACAGAACTTGAATATGAACTTACAATTAGGAATGTTAAACTAGAAACTAATCAAACTGTTGCAGACCTAAGAAAGCGATTACGTTCTGTTTTAAAATTAAATATTGAACCAAGTGCGTATAATATAGCTAAAAAGGTAGTTATAAACGATGAAATAAAGACAATTAAAGTAGCTTTAGAAGAGTTAAAGTTAAAAATAGAAGAATGTGGAAAAGAGAAGAGGGTAGTAGATTCTTTGAGATGTAAAGCCAAGATTAATCATTACAAACTAAGGTTAACTGTGTTATCTAGTTTCAAAGTTAACGATGAACAAAAGAAGGATATTCAGCAGTTGGAAGTAGTCTTATCAGAATGTGAAACAATGTTTGGTTTAGTTGAAGTAGATAAAGACCTTGAATCTAGGATAGAACGTAGATTAAGCGATTCTTTTGCCGAGGACGAAGAAATTGAACAGAATGTAATGTCTAAATTGAATATTTCTAATGAAGCTAATGAGAGGCCCCATTGTAATGAACAGTTGAATGTGCACGCTAAACTCCCCAATCCTGTTGAGAGACACTTGAAAAATGTAAAATCTTGTGATGGTCTCGAAGCTAGGGAACTTCTAAACTTTGTTAAAGTCATGCTGAAACTTAAAAAAAAAAGGTTGTGTGTAATATCAATGAAAATGTACAAGTAGGGTTGTATAAAGCTAAGGAGGATGTAGCTAAGCTAATTGCTAAATATCCTAACGTATTTACAAACAAGATTGGAGAAGGTTTAGACTTTGAATTCAAGCTTAAGCTTAAAGATGATATACCAGTATCCCTGAAAACTTATCCATTATCCCCTCCTCGTATGATTGCCATGAAAGAAATCCTAGATGACTGTGATGATGTGGTGCAGTATGAGTGTAAATGAAGATACCTGGGCCCTATATATCTTCCTCTAACCACTACCAAATCACGCACATTTCCTGTCGTAACCCAACTCTATTGCAAGAATTAATCTAACTCGTCAAAGTGCACAATATTACCTTAGCTGCCTATCACAGCCAGCTTTTATGTTCATAATGTATCTAATTATAATATAATGAACAGAGAAATATATATATATGGACTTATTCTAATTCGTGAAAAAGGTTACTAGACTTAGCAAATGTGAATTCAAAATTAGTGATAATAATTGCCAGACCACGACCTTTCGAGAACCTAATAAATTACATAATTGAATTACTACTATCTACCCTAACCTACACCCTTCCCCAACCCCTACTTCTATTAGCTAGACATCTTAGGCTACAGTTACTTATCCGGTTTAGATGGACAGCTCCAGGCGCTCGACACTACACTACTGGTCTCTTGGCTCGCTGCGCGTGCCTAGCCTACCCGGGCCGACTGCGCGGGCATCCGCGTCACGTGACTTGCGCTATTGTAGCGACTCGCTACATCCTCCCCCCGGTGGGGTTGTTTTTTTTTTCTTTTCTTTTCTTGTTTTGGGGTGATTTTGGGGTTTGGGAAAGATGAAGGACGAAGAATTTTTTTTTTTTTTTTTTTTTTTTTTTTTTTTTTAATTGTGCTCGCCGTGAGATTGTGTCGTTGTGACATCGGTGTCGGTGTGGAAATGTTCCAACAGTTTTCTGCACTCCTTTTGGTTTGGCTCATTTGAGGTTATAATGTGTGTCGGTCTTGCTTATAAACTATTAACTATTTTTTTTTTCTAAACTATAGGTAACTTTGGTTTTGAATGAATTTCTTATAACTATGTTTGGTGGGATTGCTTAATCTAACCCTGCTCTAAAAAAATGTGGGCGGGCGTATATCAGTGATAGATTTCATTAAGTTGGGTTGAGAAGGATCTGTTTGCTGATGAAACTGGATATATGGCTGATGATGATGAATTTGGGAATGTTGTCGAAATACTGAAGGTTGATGAAATTCGATGGATGTACTGAAGTTTGGTAATTGCTGGTAAATATGGAAGGTTGCTGAAGTTTGATGAGTTTCTTGAAGTTGAGTAGTTGGAAGAATGAAGCTGTGTAATTGAAGAATGAAGCTGGAGCAATGTTTTGAAGTTCTTGAAGGTATACTGTTGTGATGTGATGTGACGTAGTTTCGTAATTAGCTCTTGAGCCCTTACTAAGTTCGGGGCGCTAATTATATCGCTGGTCGTCTCTTACTGTTGAATAAATGATGTTGAGTTTTGAAGTTGATATGCGGTTGATGATGACTCAGATGTGAATTTGGAGATTGTTTGTTTGATGTTTAATTATTTTGGTCTTTGTTATCACTGATATATTCCCTGGATATTCGGTAAAAATTCATCGCGACTACTCTACTTAAGTTTACTATTGATACTTATGATCTAAATGAATTTACTAACAATAAGAAATTGTTCTACCTAATAAAAAAGAAATTTAATTTACTGAGGATAAAAGGGAAAAAATCTAATGTTTATCTACTTAAATGCTATGGATTTGATTGACTGGGAGATATATTACTAAATTTCTGTTGATTTACTAATAATTAATTAATTAACTAGTGTGACACACATTATACACTCTTTCAGTTTGGATGCTATTCGTGGTTGAATGGAGTTTCGAAAGTCTGTTGGTTGATGTAAGGAATGATAGTGTTATTGTAAGTGTACATTCATTCGAAGCTCCTCTAGTGCCAATTGTCAACAATTATGCACAGAGGTATTAAATAATAATTATTTATTCCACCGACGGCTTAGCACAACTTAATTTTTTAAACAAATATTGTTTTAATATGTTCCTTCAATGTGAAGGATTGATCGGTGCTTGGTTTGATTATTTATATAGGGCGGAAGTAGAGGTATGAATGGAACAGATGTTTGTACTGATAACGACGGTGTTATCTCGTGTCTGGCGCTTGCTATTGTCTGTTCCCTACTAGTCCATTTCTTCTCTGTCACTCAGCAACATAAATATATTTATATATTTTTTGTATTTTATTTTAACGCATGCAAAAGTGTATAACACATAATAAACATTTAAATTACCCTTTACAAATATAGTACACAAACTCTTCTTCTACGCTCAGAATTCTGCTTGTTATTTACAAACATATGGATTGTAGTGTGCGCTGTTATCTACTTTGATAACGATTGTATTACGCCTAAATACCATATATCTTATTTTAATATACATGGATGACTTTGCTTACTTAATACTTTTTATGCTATCTCGTATTTATCTTTGTGACTCAATTGTTTACATTAACACTGAAATACTTAATTTTACTTAATTCTACTTAGTTCTACTTAGTTCTAATTACCATAGTTTAAAGTCTAGCTTGGTCTGTAGTCAGTTGTCTCGTTCATGTGCTGTCATTTTTCAGTCCAGTACTGTTAGTGAGTGTTTGTTGTCATAAGTAAGCTGTCGGCTGCACTATTCATATGACAGTTGCAATCTGTCATAAGAATGTGTTATGGCGAACGATTCCCGTCATAGCCAATTTGAGCAAATTAAAAATAAAAAATTACTTAAAAAAAAATTAGTCGTTTGCTCAGATTGTAGGTTTTAAGGGGATTGAAAAGGTTGTTGATTACGGGGGTCTTGAAATGCATACATTAAGTACAAACACTATGACGTGTTTCGCTGCCAACTTGCCATGTGTTGTCGCTTCCGGCTTTCCGGCCAAGCGGTGCGTCGAGAGGTGTAGCCGCACCCTCTGTGAAAGTACGGCTTAGACTCAACTCCCAACACCCTATCAGCCGGGGCCGGAGTTGTATTGTGTACAGTATTTTTGTGAAGTATTGTTGTAGTCAGTCAAGTTACTCGAGATTTCTTGCTAGATGTTTTACTTATAACT